AAATTTTATTCACACCTCTTGCTGGCAGTGTTAGGGTTCATCCCAGGGCTTTGTGCATGCCAGGCAACCAGGCTACCACTAAGCTACAGCACTAGCCCTAATGTTATACAATGTACTTTAAAGGTCTACTTTAACCAAGTAGATGACAAAGATCCTAGACTTACATAAGAGATCCTAGAGTCTGTGCACACTACCTATTCATAGAAACACTCACTCACTAAAAATAAGATACACCAGTGTCACATGCATGGTGTTTTATTCTTTCCAGAACGGTGCTAAAACATCACTCTAAGGCTGAAAAAAAAAGTTTGAAGTAGACAGTTTTATGAGGATGAGTTGTAACACAAGTGATGTTTGTTTACTTTAAAGAATCCTCAATCTTGGAGCATATCAGGTACCAGTTGGTAGTAGCACCCAGGCTTCCTGAAGAGCCAGACATCATTTTTCTCCTGTCTGCATAGACTTCTTCTCATTAGCTGCCTTCTGCTTTTGTTGCATAATCTCAGAGTCCCTATAATGGGAGAAGAGAAAAACAGAGTTTATATTCACTTATATTTTATGTATAACCCATTAAGTACAATTCGTATACACGTCTTTCTGTTTTCGTGGGTGGAGAAAGAATGGGAAGGCAAAAACTAAAGGCTTTGAAGTAGATCTATTGTTTTCGATATCATGACTACTACTATCATGAGCTTGTCAAATAGCCTCACAGTGTGTGTGGGTCTGTGTCTTTTTGAGACAGAGCCTCACTATGTAGTTCAGGCTGGCCTTGAGCTCACTTTCACTTTGGAGCCAGGGTTGGTCTCAAACTCACAATGATCCTCCTGCCTCAGGCTCCTGGGTACTGGGATTACAGGTGTGTGCCACCATGCCCAGCTTCATAGTGTTTTTTTTTTAATTGAGAAAGAAATAGCAATGAGACAGTTTCAAAACAGGTAAGACATTTACAATAATTAATATATTGCATAGTGTTGTTTTCATAGTATTCTTTTTTTTTGAGATGGGGTTTCAGTTTACAGTTCAGGTTGGCCTGGAACTAACAGAGATCCTCCTGCTTCAGCTTCCTGAGTGTGCAGAGCACCTTCTAAACCCTGTGTCTCTGGGTAAACCTTCACATGCCATTTTGCCTGAACTATGACAGAGCCTAGCCCAGGGAATCTATTTATTTTTTGATTAGTGCTAGAGTTGGAATCCAGGTCCCATGCATGCTAAGCATGGCCTCTGATACTGATTTATATCTTCAGCCCCATAATTTAAAATGTGCTAAGTGGATATTTTTAATTGTATATTGGGCTGGGGAGACACCTGCTTGGCAAGCCTTGGTACCAAAAACACCAAAACAAAACAAACTAATCTGTGTATCAAGTATTACTGGCTCTGGCTTAAATTCTGCAATTCCTTATTATCTTCATGTTTCAGATTTTTTAAAAAAAGGCTCAGCACCAAATATCTGCTCCAAATCACATAAATACCAAGGTGTATCCAACTTCAAGTCCAAGCTCTTTCCAAGTTTTTATTAAATTTAGAATTAGATTTCAATTCAGGATTGACTAGCTCTGTCCATGACAATAGCCATTTCTGTAAAGCCAACAGCAAAAATAAAGAGTAGGAGATAGAAAAAGCAAGACAAGAACCTGCAGTATAGCTCAGTGGACTAAGTGCTTGCTTAAGTAAGCACAGGGGCCAGGGTTCAATCCCTGCCTCTGCATGCTGCGCCGGCCCCATCCCTAGGCTTGCTGAGCTAGCAATGGAGTCTGGGCATGGTGACGTGCGCCTGTAATCCCAGCACTTGGGAGGCAGAAATCAGGAGGATCACTACTACTGTGGGCTGTGTAGTGAGACCCTGCACAAAAAAAAAAAAAAAAAAAAAAAACACTTCTGGGCCAGGGAGAAGATAGTTCAGTAGAATAAATGCCTGCCTGGCAAGCTCAGGGTCCTGAGTTCAATCCTTGGTACTGCCATAAAAAAAAAAAAAAAAAAA